TGGAACAACATGGACCAACTTTAGGTACATCAACTAACTTGGAGCAATTGCATGCTCTTGAACTATCTTGGACCATTTCCTCCTCTTTGGACCAATTGGATGAATGAATGAAGCATCTTCATTCATCTTGAGGCATGTTGGACCATCTTCATCAACTTGATCATCCTGAGGCATCGTGGAACATCTTCATCATCTCGATCAACTAGAAGAATCTTGGAGCAATTTCACCAACTTCAAGCATCTTGATCACTTTGACCAGCTTGAAGCATTGTCAGTCATTTGTAGCATGTTCAAAAACATTCGACCATGTTCAACAACATTGGAGCATGATCAAGAAGATGGACACATGATCAACAACTTAAGGCATCTTCAGCCACTTGATGCACCACGCCCATGTGGCTCATTAAGTCCACATAAAGCATAATAAATATGCCATGCACATTTTGGATAGGCCATACACGTTTTGGACCATGTTCAACAACATTGGAGCATGATCAAGAACATGGACACATGATCAACAACTTGAGGCATCTTCATCCACTTGATGCACCACACCCATGTGGCTCATTAAGTCCACATAAAGCATAATAAATGTGTCATGCACGTTTTGGATAGGCCATACACGTTTTTTTAATGAGCCATTCACGTTTCAAGTGAGCCATGCACGTTTTATGTAGACCATGCACATCTCAAGTAGTCCATGCACCTGTCACATATGTCATGCACATTTCGAGTAGATTTTTCCTTAGGTCTCATGCACGTCTCAAAGATATCATCCATATGTGCACCACCTTTTCTTTCTTGCTTTTCAAAGTATCATTCTCGCGCTCGCGACTCAAGTTGAAATACTTCTATTTATACTTGAGTACCATCCAAGCCTTATGGGCCCACATGTTGGCACATGCAAGCCCTATTTCGACCCGTTGAGAAACCCTAGAACCCATCAACTATAAATACCTCATTTCTACTTCTTGTTCTTGCTTTTTCACTCTCTCACAAATTCTTACCATCATACTCACTTGGAACAACAAGGCACCATGAGCAACAGTTGCGTATGCAACATGCAACTTAAGTTGGTGAGAAGCAAGAAGCAGCCTTGGCACAACAACAAGTTTGCCTCAACAACAAACCCATTTTCAAAAAACCTCTCTTGAGCCATAAGTTTGTTGTTGCAAAATCCTTAGTTGGCTCAACAATCTCCATATTTTTGAAAATCCCATCTTGAGCCACAAGTTTATCTCAAAACCCTAGTTTGGCTCAACAACAACCTTATTTTCCAAAATCCCTTCTTGAGCCACAAGTTTCTCTCAAAACACTAGTTTGGCTCAACAACAACCTTATTTTCGAAAATCCCTCTTAAGCCACAAGTTTCTCTCAAAACACTAGTTTGGCTCAACAACCCTAGTTTGGCTCAACAGCAACCTTATTTTCGAAAATCCCTTCTTGAGCCACAAGTTTCTCTCAAAACACTAGTTTGGCTCAACAACCCTAGTTTGGCTCAACAAACCCTAATTGTGATCAACAAGGATTTTGGATGTCCTCTTGAGTCATTACTTATTTTGAAATGCTTCTTGATCCTCAACAACACTCTCTTGAGCCATCACCAATTTCGAAATTCCTCTTGAGCCATCACTAATTTCGAAATTCCTCTTTAGCCATTGATGATCAACAAGGTTTTTGTGTTCTTTTGAGCCATTCATTATCAACAAGTTTTTGTGTTGTCTTGAGCCATTCATGATAAACAAGGATTTCTTGTACCCTCTTGAGCCATTAGTGATCAACAAGGACTACTTGTGCCCTCTTAAGCCATTAGTGATCAACAAGGATTTCTTGTACCCTCTTGATCCATTAGTGATCAACAAGGATTTTATACCCCCCTCTTGAGCACTCCTTATTTTCGAAATCCTTCTTGAGCCATCACTAATTTCGATCAATAAGGATTTTGTACCCCCCCCCCTCTTAAGCATCAAGTAATTTCGAAATTCCCTCTTGAGCATTACTTATGTCGAATTCCTTCTTGATCCTCAACAACCTTCTCTTGATCATCAAGTACGTTCAAAACCCCTTCTTGAGTCAATCACTAATTTCGAAATTCTTCTTGATCCTCAACAACCCTCTCTTGATCATCAAGTAATTTCGAAATTACCTCTTGAGCATCAATAATTTCAGAATCCCTCTTGACCCATTCATGATCAACAAGGTTTTTGTGCCTTCTTGAGCCATTAAGTAATTTCGAAATCCCTTTTGAGCCATTCATGATCAACGAGGTTTTTGTGCCCTCTTGAGCCATCAAGTAATTTCGAAACCCTTCTTGAGCCATCACTAATTTCAAAATCTCTCTTGAGCATTCCTTATTTCAAAATCCTTCTTGACCATCAACAACCCTCTTGATCATCAACAAGATCTTTGTGATCATCAACTAATTTCGAAATTCCTTCTTGAGCAAACCCTAATTTCGAAAAATCCTCTTGATCATCAACAACCTTATCTTGATCATCAAGAAAATTTCGAAATTCCTTCTTGAGAAAACCCTATTTTCGAAAAACCCCTCTTGATCATCAACAACCTTATCTTGATCATCAAGTAAATTCAAAATCTCTTCTTGAACCTAACCCTAATTTTCGAAATTCTCTCTTGATCATCAACAACCTTATCTTGATCATCAAGTAAATTCGAAAATCCTTTTTCAGCCAACCCTATTTTCGAAACTCTCTCTTGATCATCAACAACCTTATCTTGATCATCAAGTAAATTCAAAATTCCTTCTTGAGCCAACCATATTTTCGAAACTCTCACTTGATCATCAACAACCTTATCTTAATCATCAAGTAAGTTCGAAATTCCTTCTTGATCCAACCGTATTTTTGAAATTCCCTCTTGATCTCATTTTCTTGTGCATCACTCAATCTTCAAAACCCTAGACGTGTGCTATATGTACTCATTTCACCATCCTCTTAATCATCAACAAGCTCTGGTGTTCACCAACAAGGGAATTCACCACTCTTGAGCCAAAAATCTGCTTGATCATCAACAAGATTTTGTGATCACCTCTTGATCCACATTCAAGTTGCGAATCCCTTCTTGATCCACACCTAAGTTTCGATACCTTCTTGATCTACCTTCAAGTTGCAAAACCCTTCTTCATCCAAACCTAAGTTTCGATACCTTCTTGATCTTCCTTCAAGTTGCGAAACCCTTCTTGATCCGCACCTAAGTTTCGATACCTTCTTGATCTACCCTCAAATTTCGAAATCCTACTTGATCAAGACTCAAATTTCGAAACCCTACTTGAGCCACACTCAAATTTCAAAACCCTAGTTGAGCCACCCTCAAATTTCGAAACCCCTACTTGAGCTACCTTCAAGTTTCGAAACCCTAGTGAACATCAAAGTCTTAGAGCAACATCAATTGATCTGCTCATCACCTCTTGAGCCAATCACAACCCTAGGTGAGCATTTTTTTTTTTAAAAAAAACCCTAATTCACGTTTTTTTCTCTTTTAACCCTAGACCTTTTTTTTTCTCTTTGTCTTGTACAAACCTTAGTTTTTTTTGGATCATCATCAACTACTTGTTGGAGAATCATCATTCAACCTCTCTTGTGTGGATCATCTTCAAAATCTAGGTAGGCATCACTACTCTTTTGTGAAACCCTAGTTATCACAAATCCACCCATGAGCATTATCATATGCTACATGTGTATTCTTTTCTTTGTACATCATAGTCAACTTAACATTGATTATTGAATTGTCATGTGTTTAGTGTTTATCATCACGTGGTCTTTCATCATTTTATATTGAGCACCACATTCCTTGATCACTCTAGGTACATGTTCATTCCTTTTCTTTACACTCTATGATGATCATGATGTACACCTTTTAAAGTTTTGTTTTTTCTTGACATAACATAGATTTGCACATCTCCTGTGTCATTTGTGTTGACTTATCTCTATGTCACTCACTGATTCAACAAGACATCAACTGGTAAGTAACTTCTCTCTCGCATGTGCACATATCCTCATATAATAAAGTTACCCCTCCTTTGGTTGATGATTCATGTCTATACATATGTTCCTATGGTCAGGTTCCCCTAGCATTGGCCTATCAATTCTTTTAAGTGAACATCTCTTCTTGTTGCAATCATATTGAGTGAGTAATTTTTTTTCTTTCCATTTTTTATTTTTATTTATTTATTTTTGATCATTAACTCATCTTCACACACCATGCTTAGGTTATTTAGTGTTGAGTATTTGATCAAATATTTCCTGTGAGCATTATACTTATTGGTGCATATCTTGCTTTTCATACTCACAAGTCCATTACCTACACCCATCTTCTTTAAGGTAATTTCTCTTCTCTTACTCTTCTGTGATCTTCAGTTTCATTTCATTATATGTAATTTTCGGATCAACATATATTTTTTTTATTTGTCAACTGTTGTCTCTACGATATCTAATTTTATGTTAGTTTCTAAAGACTTTTTCATTTGATGTGCAATAGTCATCATAGGTCATGACTTAGCAGTTTTACTTGATCTTTGCACTTTTGCTATGATTTAGTAACATCACTTTTTTTTGTATAGGACATCAATTTCTTTCTTTCTTATTCCAACTTGTCATGTAATTTGCTTTCTGGCCTATACTCAGTAAGAATGAATTTGCAGATTCTTCCTGTCCATAGTTGAATCAAAAATACTACTCAATTCACAACTTTGTTTAGTAAATGCAAATTCACACATTTCAATCCCCCCATCCTCACTTCCCTCTTTTAGTTAAGATTATATGCTATTTTTTAGCTATATTTCTTTAACTAACAATTCCTTTTATTTATTTATTTATTTATTTATTTATTTATTTATTTTTTGTTCTTTTTCTATTCTTTTTTAAGACATGGCTGACATAGAAGATGGCTAGACTTCTAAAGCAAAGTCTTCTCATAAGGCTTCACACTCTCATGCCACTGGACCTTCAACTGAGACACACTCATCATCACCTAAAGTTGAAATGGCTGCATCCAACTATACTGCACTTCTCAACACTCAGGAACAACCCAAAGAATTCGGTGTCATAGTTGAGTATCTGCACAAATGCCTGTTGGCATATGCACTTCTTTCTACTTCTCCAAGTCCACAATCTCTTATCACTGAAGTCTTTCTGTCAGCAGTTATCTCCACAAGAGCAAGGTCCAAACAACTTACTGTTGAATTTAATCTTTTTCAAGCTACTTTGGTCCTCACTAAAGAAGACTTCGTAGTCAGTTTAGGTCTAAGCGATATTCCTCCTACACCTCAAACATTTTCCACACCAACTTCTGCTCAGTTATTGACAATGTTCAAGGAAATGGGGTATAAATTTGAAGACGAACAAGAACCATGTCTTTCAAGAATTTGGAAATCTTGCCTTCCCACACCATGGCACTTTCTCAGGTCCGTCCTCACTAGATGTCTATTCGGATCAGTTGGTGGACGCAGCAAAGGTAAAACAGACCTTTGGATTCTTATGTACGGGCTCTTTTACGACATCAATGTTGATTACACGTCTATTCTTTGGGAAGATTTCCTTAATTTTCTCCCTGCATCAAAGAATAAATTTTTGATTCATCATCCTTGTTGGTGGTCAATCATTATTTATGACGCCATCCATAACAGTAATCTTGCACCAGGATGGATTCCAGAAGGCCCAAAGCCTCATTTCTCATGTATGACGCCATATCAGATTCGTACGACATCTGAATCTGGGTCTTCACAACCAATCATCATTCCGGATTCTATACTAACAAAGTTGGATGAAAACAGTGATTCTCTTTGCTCATATCAGAAATACATCCAGGGGATTATTTCGCCTCCCAAAAAGAAGAGGAATCATTCTGATCATGCATCCAAGAAGTCTGCAAAGAATAAGAAATCTAAATCAAGTCAACCACCCCTATCTCATCTCCAGCCATCTCTGATGATAATCATGGAGCAGATTTAGAGGAACCCACATCTCTCCCTAAATCTGGTACAACCTCTAAGTCATTCTCTTTCATAGTTTCCTTATTTCACGCTCCATCTGATTATGATAAACCATCCTCTTTAGCTCTAGTTTCACCAGCACACGTTCAGTCGGTTCTAGAAAGTCCAAACCATCATGGCTCCTTGGATTATGACTCACTTAAGGACGATAACCAAGATGATGATAAGCAATCCGAACCAGAAAATATTCCTCAAGATTCTCTAGTACAAGATAATCCCGATGACGATACTCCAATGCGGACGATCGATATTCCTTCCAGTGAAGGACTAATAGTCGATGATGAGACCAATGACATGTCTATTGTTCTTTACTCCATTCTATCTGCCAGGACTTTCACCATTGATCTTGATGATTACTCTCCTCCAACTCTAAAAGAATCTCAAGAAAAAGATGTTAACGAACCAAATCTCTCATCCTTTTCACAAGATCCTCTTCAGGACGACAGTACTCCTAAAGACACAAATGAGGATAATACCATAGAAACAGAGCCTGCACGCATCAGACTTACCGCCCAAATGGTAGCTGATGGTATTGTAGAGATTCGCTTTCACACATCTTCTCACTCTGAATATCTGCAGAACTTTCAAGAATATCTTGAATGTATGGAAGAAAATATGTGTATACTCAATGAGAAAACAGAAGCATGGGTCAAAACACTTCAAGTCACTATTGAATATTTTGAAGGCACAACTGCTTATATCAAAGGAAAAGTTGCTCGTAACATGCGGAGGATTGAAACTCTAGATCAGAAAATTCATAACACTATTGAAGCATGTCTCTCTCCGATGAATCAGAAGATAGATGACTTCATACAGTCCTTATCCAATCTAGAGTCCGTCTATGAAGCCAAATTGGATCATATGCAAAATCATGTTACTGCTCAAGACCGCTATATCTCCACTCTTGAGAAGTCCATTGCTGAACTATCTAAAGCTTCTGCATCATCCTCTACCTCTCCCTTTCAGGCCTTCAGTGAGCAAGTTCAATGTCATTTGGATTCGTTAAGCTCTGACATAGCAAATTTATCAAAATCTAATTATGAGAAAATCAATAGCTCATCAGGTGACATATCTTCCCTTCAGAAGACTGTTCAGTTGCTAGTCGATGAAGTCAAGGCTATCAAGCAACAATCTTCCTCTTCAGATCTATGTGCTCTTCAACAAAAGGTTGCATCAACTGATTCCAAACTTGACTTGATCTTAGCAAATCTATATGGTTCAAATGAGAGGTTACCTGAACCAGAGGGGGGAAAGGTCCACAAGAACAGATCAAGTCAGTCTCCTATCATACACCAAATTCCAAACTCACTAAATGAGTTTGAGAAAAGGAGATATGAGAAAATACAGTCACTTGACAAATCCCTGCTGATGCATGATTAAAGGCTCAACATAACAAAGCCATGTTAGCTGAGAAAGAAAAGGAGCTCATTCATCAACAAGGGATCAAAGATCCATCTCTAAAAGTTCCAAGAAGGAAAGATGTCCAGTTCTCTAAACCGCTCATCGTATCAGAACCAACCACTCAGTCAAAGCTTTCTCACAGTGATCCCAACGATAGGGGAAAGCAGAAGATATATTCAAATCTAAAAAGGAATTAGCTAAAGAAACTCAAATGCAGATAAACGAAGGTTTAGCTAAGCAACTGAAGGCTAAGGAATTAAAGTCTAAACAATAGATGCTTCGAAAAAAGAAATCTCCAGAGATCTCGACTGAAGAAAGGAGTACATGGCATGATAAACAATTTAGAGTGTCTTCACTTAAAAGAACTATCTTCTTTAACCCTTATAAAGATTCCTATCAAAAGGTAAAGGTCATCAAGCCCACAAATTCCTTCACACCTCCTTCATACCTCACTAAAGAAAACTGGGATATTCCTGCACCCCCGAATGGTATGAAGTTTAACTTATGGCCAAGTGCAATTTATCCAGCTGAGGTTGATTTAGACATTGAAGACCTAAAGAAAAGATTCTTTCAGAAGAAATCAATCCAAGTTTTCCCTGTATGGTTAAAGTTCAAGATTGCTTTAATCAACAAAATTGACATATGGAAATTTAGAAAAATGCCATATGCATTCTTTCAAGGAAGAAGGACATACAACTCTGAGTTCATGTTTTATGAAGCTGATTTCCTAAGAATAAACCAAGCTGATATCAGATCACTAATCATTTGGTTGAAACAAAGGGTGAGTACAGATAAAACTTATGCAGATGTTCTACAACGCCTAAGGCAATATGTGCTCGACATGGTTATTAATTTCAATGTTGACTGGGAGATTGGACAGCTAGGAGAAAAGGAAGCTGAGGAACCAAATGTGAATCTAAATATGGAGAATGAATCGCCTGGGAACATTCTAAATAAACCACATAGAGGTGTTGTATTCTCTTCTAAAGGTCGATTAAAATTCATGAGAATCTCCCAAAAACATTTATTCTCTTCTGAATTCATTGAAGGCATCATCAGTTTATTGAAGAGAACAGGAGATCAAGAAGAATCGCTGAGAGTGAAGATCGTTGAAGAACTTACATGGTTTTTGAGTTTCCGACAATGGTTAATAAACTTGAGAAACAAAGTTTAGATTATGTTTTTTTTTTGTTTTGTTTGTTTTTTTTCTTGAACATATGGATGATGTTTTTGCTACTGGTAACTTATCATATTGCTAAAATTTATTTTGCGTGTTATTACTTTTATTTCTACTTTTATTTTTACTCCTTATTTCAGTAACCATCTCATAGGGGGAAACTGTTGGAAAATATTTATATGTGATTGTCACTTGAAATAAGTTGAGTCCTTTTATATATCTTTCTAACAAACATTATCAGAATGTTTCAAGTTGGAAAGATGTTGAAGATTCAACAAGTGTTTGAAGAATCATATTTTGGAGCACTTGAAGCTTACATGGAGCACCTGCTGTTGACATGGAGCACTTGAAGAAAGCTAGTTGGATCATCATGATCTCAGAGAGCACATCCAGATCATATGTGGAGCATCAAGACACTGATGGATCATTTGGAATATTGATGGCTCATCAGAAACATTGTTGACTCATCAATAACTCTATGGCTCAACAAGAGTTGATGGCTAAATAGGAACACTTGGTGGCTCAACTCAAGTCAATGGATCAACATGATCACATTGATGGTTTAACAAGACTACACATGACACATCATGTACGATGAAGGCACGTCCAAATGCTCAAAGGAACATGAATTTCGTCCATGGTCCATCATGAACATGTGGTGGTACATCTTTAAGTTCAAGACACAGTCCAACATTCAAGAAACTACTCAACATGATCAACAACACTTCTGGAAGTCGATGACGTCTAAGAAGACAATCTCATCACTTTTTCAATGTTGATCAAGAAGGTTCAAGAATTACGAAGACTCATAACTTGGATGGAACCCTAACATAATACTAACAGAATTGGAATATTCCATCCATTCTCTGTTAAGTAGGGCAAATGTGTCAACTGATGACTAAGTCATGATGACGTGTCAACACCTGATTGGTCAAGCCATGTCATGGGCTTTTCCAAAGCCTATAAATAGGCCCCTTGGGATCCATTATAAAGTAGTTCTTCCTGGCTCTTCTTTGCTCATTTCAGATCATTCTGCAAAATTGTTGTTTAGATTAGTCTTCAGAGAGCCATTTGAGTGTTTTAGCTTGTCTATCATTCAAACACTTGTAACTGAATCTTGATGAATATTAAACACTTTTGAATCATTGATCTTGAACATATAAAAAAACGTTTTTATCATTAACTTTGTGATTTACAACTCTTTATTTTCCGCATTACTTGCCACTTGACGATTCTGAAACTTTGTTTCAGTATTTTCAACACTTGGACTACTCTAGTTTAGGTTTATTGAATTTTTCTCATTTCTTCAGTTGGTATCAGAGCAATTGTTTTTCTTTTTCTTCAGTAACAATATCTTATCTGAAACCACCACATGCAACAGAAACAACGAGAACAACAAGTCAAATTCATCGATTTTAAACCCTAATTTGAAGGAAATTGAAGTTATTTAACAACATAATTGTATAATTTGAACTATATGTGTTACCTTCGCTTAACAGGCGAGGTAGACATGAGTGGATTTGTCGATCCACAATATTGATGTGCTTCCCGAGAAGAACATACGAGTGAAGTACAACAGTTCCCAGCGGTTGATTGGAACCCATCTTCAATATCTCCTCTGTTTCGAACTGGGTTATGCAAGAAGGCGACAGAGCAGGTTGTTTGGAGGGCATCGACGGTGAGGTTTAGTGGATGTAATGAAGATACAACCTAGAATTCAATTCCGAAGGAGATTTGAGGCAAATTCTCATCATTCTACTTAATCTATTGTTTTCAATCATGGTTAGACAATTAGAATTCGTTTTATTGTTGTTAATTACCTCAATCATGAGCTAAAACTCTTAAACTTCTGTTTGGGGATACAATATTAAAACTACGGTTTTATTTATGGTAGGATTAATTCAATATTGGTGATTTTGTTGATTTTAGCTTGTTAAAGAACCTTGTGTGTGAATGATAAATATTAGTCTGTTAATAGGAAGATAATTAAATAGTATGAACATCTTTTAATTGTCAACCTCATATGTTTATGTGACCACTTTATCATATGTCTAGGATTAATGAACATGAAACTAAAATTAATAGAAAATTAGGTAAATTCATGTGTGAGCTTGTGTGATAACCATCAACAAGAGGTTAACTAAAGAACCAAATCAGTTAGCTATTACAAGTCTAAATTAACCCGAATAAATAATCTAGTGAATTAAATTAAATTAGACAACTGGCCACGTTTTGAGTTAGTTTGTTCTCTAAGGATTAGTGCAGTGAACGTGAATCTAATCACTTGAATCGGTATCCAATAGAAGAATTAATCCATTGCACTATTACCATAATATCAACCATAGGATCAATTGAGTTGAACTAAACAGAAATTCCTTTCGTTATTGAATTTAGTTAAATCTTTGCTTTTCTAGTTTTTAGTCTAAGTAATAGTAGTAAGTTTCTAGTCTTGTAAAACTAGAGAAAACCCCTATTTATTATTCAATTTAGATAAAATTAGTCTTTAGTTTTAAGTTACCGTTCCCTGTGTTCGATACCCTACTTATTTAGCTTTACCACAATTGATAGGTCCACTGCCTTTGTGTGTTCATTTTATAATTAAAAGTAGGTTTAAAACTATTTGAGTTTACACACATCATTTAGCTTCTTGAGATTGTTATAATCCTCTTCTAACTCATGAAAGTTCATGATCATGCTTCTTAGAACCCATCTAGGCCAAATTCTTCTCAAGAAGCTTTGTAAGGCCGAGAATAGCATCAAACTTCTTCCATTTCTTCTTCAAATAAAAAAAAACAAGCAAAGGTGAGTTCATACCCCTTTATTTTCGGTTTTCATACGTTTTATGGGGGTGAATACAAGTAAAATGTGTAGATCTATGTGTATGTGTGTGCTATGTGTGATTTCATGTGTATATGTGGTAAATATGTGCCAAAAAATGAAAGATATTTCGAGATCTATAGTTCATAAGGGAAAAATATGTGATCTAGGGTGTATTACACACAACAAGTTAAGAAAAATCTACCATATAAGGGTTAAAATACACATGTTACAACATAAGACTCATTATTGGGTTATTTTTGTCAAATAAGCAAAAGTTTGGGGAAAGATTGTCATTCATGGTTTCTTAAGGACTAAAAGAGTCAAATCAGTAAAAACAAATGTTTTTATGGATATCATACTCTTTTAAGGGCTAGATGTGTAAATTGTAGCTTAATGGGCTAAATTTTGGGCTTTTCGGCCCATTAAGCCATACCTTGCGAAAATTTCAACTTTCAAGAGAATGAAATGATAAACTTCTCAAAACAGGGGGCAAAAGGGTAAAAAAAAACTATTTCAGGGGTTAAAATGATGTATTTTCCAAACAAGGATCAAAAATGTAAACTTTTTGGATTTTGGGCCAAAATTGTAAAAGTTGCAAAAGTTTGGGCTTTGATCGAAAAATACTTTTTTGGAAGGGCTGAAACTGCCAAAGAATAAGTTTTGAGCTAAAAACATCACTTGAACAGGTCTTCGGGTTAAAAGTGTCAAGAAAATGGTTTAAGGGCTTATAATGTCTTTTTTTTATATAAAGGACTAAAACTGTCAATTTTACCAAAGATTGTCTTAAAGGGGTTCAAACCAAGAATTTTGAGTCAATTATTTTATTTTTAAGATATTTGAGTTAAAATAGAAATACCAACTACCATTCATGAAAATGGAAAGATGAAAATACGTACAAATCCAAACATCGTTAAAAATAACCGACCGGCCTTGTTCCGGTGTGAAGTTTACAATCACCCAAATCAAACTTTCTAACAATTAAACTACACCTAAAACAAGTAAACATTCAAATCTTTGGGCTTGAAAGTTCCAATCATGCTTGTTGGGCCTTTGTGACCCATTAACATGATTTTGGGCCCAAGGGATAATAAATAATGTTATTGGGCCTTCTATGACCCAATTTCCTATTTAAGGGACCCTCAATGGCTCTTAAGTGCTATTGGGCCTTAGTGATCCATTAGCATTGCTAGTAAGGTCCAAGTAAATTAAATGCGAAATGGGCCAGCGTGCCCTTCGTATAACCAATAGCCATAAATAATACGCGGGGATAGTAGGATCATGTAATCCTCTTCTCCTCGTTTATTAGGCCGATCGTCAATCTAAGTAAACAAATACATGTCTATAATCAATAGTAATCAAAGTCAATTGGGATTTAGTGAGTCATAACGGGTGGCACCAACGTGTGTCGGTCGTAGTCTGTAGTTATAATCAAAGTTTCCTGGAGGGAGAGCGAGAGTCTGTGTATAGATCTATATGGGGGTGACTCCCCCACACCTCAGCTGTTCGATACAGTTAGACTCGGCCGATCTAGGGTGAGAAAATCTTAAGATCAATTCCGGCGTTCACCAGAGTGCCAAGACAGACGAACTAGTCATTATCGGGTTTTCCAGTGAAGTTCAACATTTTTCACTGGTACTTTTAATACGAAGTTTTTCAAGTATACACGTCTAGAAATCATCATGCATATAAGTACGGATCTTCACACTTTTATATAAACAATGATCTTTTCGGAAAATATCGGATTTTCTGGGTTGTTTTTTTTACAAACTACACAAAACATTTTCATATCAAACCTGCTTATGAACTCACCAACATTCCATATGTTGACCGTTTTCAAAATAACTTGTATTCTCAGGTAACAGGTAAGCTGAGGAGTAGTACCAAGTATGTTAGGGTGTTGTGCTTTTGAAAACTATAAAACAATTTACGTTATGGATTTGTAATGTTAAAACAATGTACTTGATGTGAACAAAGTTAGTTGTAATATATTGATGCATGGTGATGTTTATGTTATGATTCATGTATATTCATTGTGATGATATTCAATTTAAGTCACGCGATCCCTCGGGCGTTTCTGCCGTTTGGTTCGAGGGTGTGACAGGTTGGTATCAGAGCACTGTTTATAGTGAACTAACATATCTAAGCACACATTGATATGCAACTATAAACCAAAGAAG